GATATAGAAAACCACTTTTTATTTTCCCAAGAGTGAGTGTGGAGACTTAATTGCCTACCTTGAGAACAGAGACTGGCATGGAGGTGGGACAGGACAGCAGGAAAGAAGCTGGGCTGGAGCTTAGCGATCTAGTCCAGCTGCGTGTTTTATAGATGAAGAACCTGACTTGCCTAAGGTCCCTTGGAAAGTTAAGTGACAGAACTGGAATGTGAACCCAGATCTGTGGACTTCTAGTTTGGGACGCTCTTCAGTGCACCATCGCTTCACAGGAGCAACTTTAAAAATGTTGGTTTTAGTGGGCAACTAGATAAGAACAGAAACAAGGAGGGATAGGCTTCAGAGGGTCTGACTCTGTCAAATGCTGCTGCAGCCTTAATGGTGTCTAGAAGAAAGAAGGTGACTGTTTCTCTCTGCTCTGTGCTGGTCTTCTGTCCTCCGAGGGTCCTCAGTGTTTCCACTAGCCAATTGCCTGAACTGGGAAGGAACTTGAATCATACTGAAAGAGCTGTGGGTGGTTAGCATGGATAAGCCTCAGGAAAGAGATGACAACCAACTTCTGTTGGTTGGAAGATTGTCATATAGAAATGGAATTGAAAGTACAGAAGAGCTGTTGGGTTTCAGTGGGCTGGAGGTGCAGGAAGGTAGACTCAGTATCTACTAATCAGAAGTGTCCAGCATGGGCCTTAGATGATGGTGAGTTTAAGCAGAGGGTGTGCAGCGTCTTGTTACCTATTTAGGCCTCATGATCTGGAGATCTACAGTATTCCAGGCAAATTACAGACTCTCTGGGCCTCAGAGCTGTTCTGAAAATTCGAGGCTCCAGAAACCTGGTTGTTGTGATGTCATTCTTAGTTCTACTTTAATTTTTAGGCCAGACAGACAATTCCTAAGCTCTCCTTTGCCCCTCTCAACTTTGTCTCCTCTTACTCTTCTCACTGGGGAGCCTGGGAAGAAGCAAACTTAAAAAGTACATGTGGAAGGGCGAGGATTAATCTCAGCCCACGGCTATAGAATGGAAGTGTTCTACATTGACTTTTAAACTTTTGTTTTTACAAAGAAAATGGTAGGGAAAAGTTTTATTTGAAAAATTAAGATATTAGAAAGTTTTGTAAATTAGCAGTACCACCCAAACAGTAAATACTATTCTGTCTTTTGCAGGAACCACATTTAAATATCATAAGTGATAGTCTTAATACAATTTGGTATGATTTTTTAAATGGATGTGTTGGTGATAGCTTGATAATGAGAGAGTAAGGGTTGCTTTCTTCAGCTGTTGGTAGAGGGTAGAGCTTAAAATTTACATGGCACTGGTCAGCAAAGGGTACAGATCACAGACAGAAGCAGACTGCCTTCAAAGTGATCATCTTAAAGTTTTAATCAAAAACTTTGTCTAACCAAAGTACTTGATGTTTTCCATATATCAACACAGGTATCCTCATCCATACTTCTTCCTCACTGTCATCTTTCCATACTGACAGAAGACTCTGGTACAGAGCTTGAGAGTCTTGGGTTTGTAGACTTTCAGTCCCAAACAAAGTTGTCCTCAGAGCTACACATCTTTCATCAGTTTCGCTAAGGCTCCAGTTTCCAACCCAAGAAAAGGAGAATGGAAGCCTGTCCCCTTAATCCAGCATCTTCTGTTCCCTGCATGCATTCCCAGGCCTATCCAGACCATTGTCTGTGAGGAGAAATGAGAGCTTATCCTTTCTCTTTCTTAACTGTTATTACAATTAATCTAAAAATTGCCTAACGATTTCCACTCCTTTTTTTGACATTTAAGTTAAATTGAAGGTGGGTCAGAAAATGGAAATGATTGCTAAAACTTAGCTGAATATCAGCAGTTGCCTTTCAATTCACCTGCTTTAAATATTTCCGATTTTCTCTAAAGCACTCTTCAACTATAAAAACAGATAGCACAGTTGGATATGCTGGGCAATAACAGGTATACCTGATCTCTTACTCCACATTCCAGTTCTCCCCTAAAGTCAGATAGAAAATGCTTCATTTTGCCAAATTCCATCATTTCCCTTTTTTAACCTTAGATTTCTCCAAATGCTTCATTTAGAAGATATTTACTGAGCTGATATTAAAATGATGAGGCAAACACTGTATGGAAATAAAAGAGTTCATTATCTAGAGTCATTAATAATTCTTTATCAAAAGACTCCCCCATTCATCCAAGAATCACCAACTCATACACTGAGTGGCCAGATTATTATGACCACCCCATCAATACAATGAAGTGGATTAGTTATGCAAATAATAATAATAATAAAACCTTGAGAGTATTTGCTTAGGAAGTTTTCAATATTCAGTATTTTTGGAAGTGTCAATGAAGTACTGATGAGGTGGTCATAATAATCTGGCCGGTCATAATAATCTGGCCACTCAGTGTAGTTTGAAATTTATGTCAAATACATTAACAATTTATAGTTATCTAAACAGTATACTAAGGAAATAACAGCTTTGATCATGGATTTCCTGCTAAATGGACAAGTCTGTGTCAGAGTACCTTGTTCATATAGGACCCTAGATTTTAACCCAAATCTGTAATGTCTGGATCAGCAAAGCAGTGCTTATATGAGCTTAGCCTGAACATGAAATTATCCTTTGACAGAGATTTCATCTAACTGAATTCTTTCTACACAGAAAAAAAAAACACCTTAAGGTATTTTTCTTTCACAGGTCACTAATAAAAAAGAATGTATGGAAGCAGTTGGTCAACAGCTATTTTTTCATTTATCCATAGCTATAAACTTCTGTAAATATCAAAAGACATAATTGGCATAATCCTTGTCCTTTGGGAATTTACAGTCTAGTTAGGAACCCAAACTGACGTTGCAGAGTAAATAAAGTTGGAGGTTATGTGCTGAAAGCTGGCAGGGCAGCAGATCTGAGATGGGTCCGACGGGGATGGCTGCAGTAGTAAATACACTGCAGAAGACAGAATAGCACAAAGTGACTGGACTGGATTATATGAAAGTAACAAATTTAGCTTTCTGCAAATAACATTGTTTATAATTTTTACCATAGAAAACTAAAATGAGTATTCACTTGGAGTGTCACATGTACCCCATAATTGTTCTGATGATCACAGGAATCTGCCATTGAAAACATGTATATATGAAGGGCTTTTTAAAGGTATCAATTGCTCTACAAATGTAAGGTTAGCTTTAGTATAATAATAGCTAATATTTATTGAGCACTTATATTTCTAGATACTGTGTTAATTTACAAACATTATTTGACTTAATTATCACTATAGTCCTGTGATATAAATATAATTATTCCCATTTTGTAGGTCAAGACATAGGCTCAGCAAAGTTAGGTAACTTGCCGAAGGTCACATAACCAGTAAGTGGTGGAGCTGGGATTTGAGTCCAAATCTAATGAGTCAGTGTTCCTGGCCATTCTTTAAGTACTCTACATTTTCCACATTATCACCGCTATTGAAGTCAGATTTTTACTAGTATGTACTATATTTAAAAGTTAAGTTCCTCATTTGACTAAATTAGGAACAACCTAATTATAACCCATAAAATGACCCTAGTAGAGGATTGTTCCAATGTGCATATAAAGTTGCCCCAGTTATTTTCATCTATAAAATTTGGGGTAGACAATATAGTAAATGATCATTATTCTTGGTTGAGTTTGAAAACCACCAGGCAGTAGCTTGGAAAGGATTTTAAAAACAAGTGTAAAGCACCTATTTGTTATTTATAAAGTTGCCTTTGGCTAGAAATATGCTTTCTATTCTGTGAATTGCTACCATTGGTTCCATGCATTTAGCCTTTACAGTACACTTCAGAAAATCAAAAGCTCTGTGGATTACACATTGCATATTAAAATTTAGAGTCTAAGGCATTTTGCACCAGTAAATATATATTTGACACAACCTTGGAAATAAAGATGTGCCTGTTAGTTCAGAGACAATATTTTTGTGCAAAATATAAACACCAGGATTGGGTTTGGGGGATGTCCAACATCCTGTGTTCAATAAGATTGAAATCTCTGGGGACTAGGATTTTGTCTTTTCCAGTGCCAAAATATTGAATGCCACGCATTCGTAAAAATTTGTTACTGATGTTTTGAATTGTATGTAATAATAAGCACAGAAGTTAGTGTTTGGAGAAGGTGCCTATAAACTACCAAGGCCTCTTAGGAAAATCTGTAAAAGTTTACTATCCTGTCCACTAGGAATTAGAGAGTTTCCTAAGGTGGGAAGGAACCAACCAAGAAGGAATAAGCAGGGTTGTCTTTTGGGCTTTCATAGTCTATTCAAAGTTGTTTTGATGTAGAACAGGTATTCATTCATTCATTACTTTGTTCATTCATTCTTTTGTTCATTTAAAAAAAAGTTAGTGAATACAGTGTTAGTAAATGTGTTAAGTAAATAGGAATTAGAGAGTTTCCTAAGGTGGGAAGGAACCAACCAAGAAGGAATAAGCAGGGTTGTCTTTTGGGCTTTCATAGTCTATTCAAAGTTGTTTTGATGTAGAACAGGTATTCATTCATTCATTACTTTGTTCATTCATTCTTTTGTTCATTTAAAAAAAAGTTAGTGAATACAATGTTAGTAAATGTGTTAAGTAAAAATTAATTAATCTATAAATTACTAAAAGTAGTATGTCATCACTAAATTCTTTCCTTCCTGACAGCAAACTGATTATAGTTTAATCTTTTGGCTGCAATTCTCACCTCTTTAATGAAATCTCTGTGGCTTGAGATTCTGAGAGGATGAGCCTTTCACCCAATATAATAATGATGAATAAGTCATCCAGTAAACTATTTTCCCAGTGAAGGGTAATAATTTGGTGTGATTATAATGTGACAGATTAAGAAAAAATAAAAATGCTGACTTTTGCTTTTAGTTGTACAGATACAAGTGCCTGTTTTTAAAAAAATTAGGAATCTCTGGTGGTTTTTTGCACCCAAATTGTTTTCCGAATGAGTGTTGGATGAGTGTATAGCACTCTAAACAGTGGTCAGGAAGTGGTTTATGTCCTTGTCCTTTGTCATGGGAGTCTGTGCCCAGCATGCAGAGTGCTACTGCTGGACTCACTTGGTGCTTTTTCCTAGGTGATGACCTCACTATTTATGGGGTTGTCATGCAACGGTGGAAGCCCTTTCAGCGAGATGTGCGCTGTGAAGTGGAGATAGTCCTGAAAGCCAATTATGTCCAAGTAAATAATGAGCAGTCTGCAGGGATCATCATGGATGAGGAAGTTCGAAAGGAATTTGAAGATTTTTGGGAACACTATAAGAGTGATCCCTTTGCAGGTTTGTGATTAAGGGTATAAAGCTGATAATTATTAATGGCATTTCATTCAGTAGTTAAACATGTTGTTTCTGATTGGGGGTAGCCTTACATGTCCCATAACTCAGCGACTGAGTGCACAGAGTAGTAGCATCAGTCAGTGCCTCTAGCCACAGCCTCCCCTGAAGCCCTTTTCTGGCATAGCCTCTTCTATTTAGAGATATGGAAAAATAAGGCTGACTTCCAAGAGGTTTTTCATTTCTAACTATTTTAACATCTTATACTGCCAAAGTAGTTTCAGAATTTTCTACCTTCTTTACCTTAAATAGGAAAAACTCATCCTATTATGACACCTTGTCTGATGTCCTTTAAATTATATGGACATGTTCACATGATTTTAGCTGAAGATTTAAAAATAGGAGCTACGTAGAAAAGAGATGAGAAAGATGGAAAGATGCAAAAAATAAGCTTTGTCATCACAGCAAAAATTTTGATTATGATACTAAGCTATAATTACATAGATTAAAACATCACAGCCTTTGAGTTTATAAAGTATTTTTAATAAAAATCCCAAATGTATAAAACACCAATTAAATCTTCAAATGTCTGTTTTCATTCTTCCTTGGAGGTATCTTCTGAGAAAAATAAACCAAAGGCAGTAATAGGCTATTACTTTATTTATTTATTTATTTAAAATATATTTTTATTGATTTCAAAGAGGAAGGAAGAGGGAGAGAGAGAGA